CACACACACGTAGTCTCAGACATTCACAAGAAGAAATTAATGAAAGCCATTAGTGACCAATACTGTGTCCAATTCCATAACAACCATGGCGGAACAAGCAAAAATCTACAGTATTCGCAGCTGAAATAAACCCTAAGACAATCAAATTTAATAGCCGATTCTAGCCGTCTGGGCTCGTAAACGGGGTAACGGAACTGCTCTAATGACTTTAGACAATGCTTGACGTCCGAACTGGCAATTATCACCAATAAATTAAAGTAGAGCGGAAATCGGTAAAAACAAATAGTGGAAAAGATATCCCAGGGAGGTTGCCGACTTTGGGCGTTCGCTGAACTTGTGAACTTTATATCGGATCTGTTCGGTATGGACTTGCAAGGTTTATTTCAACCTATTCAAATATTGCTCCTAAAATTTTAGAATGTAAATACCCCTTTATCCTTTCTCTGGACGTCCGGTCACAGAGGTGGTATTTACTCGTACCCAGAGTCGGCTGGGAGGCAACAGACTGTAAAGATACCATCATAAATTACGAATTACCGGAGCGGTCGGCAAATTAAGAAAACGTGGGCCTCAGCCACGATCCTTAGATCTTCCAGTTTCTTTGATTCCAATGGAGGGTAATTCTTTAAACATTAAGAAAGCGCGAGTCATACAACGGCCACACAGGAGAATAGGCGCATTCCAGTCGACGACATTACCCCCTCCCTCCCCACACAGATTAAACATCATTTAGGGCCAGGCGGCCGTGAATGGCTAACGACTTCGAAAAAACTATCGCCGACGACACGTACACAGGCTAAATTGTCTTTTTAACGCTCCGAAGAACACGGCTGCAGACCCGGATTGGGACGTCGAACGGTCGAAAGGTCGGTTGGATAGGAAAGGTCGTGGGTTTACTTATAGACGTTTCTTTAAGGGGAAACTTCTAAAATTGATTTGTGATAAAATGGTCTGTGTGTTTTGGAAAAGTTTTGTTGGATTACCTTTCCGTTTTAGTCTAAAACGTGAATGTTCGTTAGTGCCAATTCTGATTTTGTCCACGGAGGTTTTTGATTCTTCGCGATCACTACTTCTTACTATTCAAAGTTTGAAAGAAATGGCTTTTAAACACTATTATTAATGCGCAGACTAAACTAAAATCAAACAACTTTTTATGAATAGTATCAACCCAAAAGGCGTTTAAACTAACGATTTTTAATTGAAAGTCCTGAGAAACACTCCTTTTGAACTTGGCAATGTAACCACTTCGTGCATATTTTAATGTAAGGAAAGGGTAGTGTGAAATACTAGTAATATATCAATGATTATGGGTGTTGGGTCAGGGATACAGCAATGCGTTTTTTAAAGGCAAAGATAAGCTGGTTTCATGTGTTGTGGTTTGAAAAAGGGGGTTGTACAACAATTTAAGAAAATCGACTAATTTGTTCATACAAATATTCGTCCAGTCTTTTTAAAAAAGCTTATTTCAACACCTCAGATGGAAAACAATTTATGTCAAACTTGATGCAAGAGTTTTAGTCACTAGCACATTCTGTGACTGGCTCACACAACTACGTACTTTAAAAAAAAATAGCTACAGCTGGTCCATATAGATGGGATGTCTACTTCAGTATCCAATAGTCAATGGCAACACTCATCTACGGGCAAGGCACCAAGAGGTCGACGTTGCCAAGGGACCTAGAGGGTGAGAAAGTCCAAGATAAACACCACAGGATGAAAGAAGCCGACGCAGATCTGTGGGGAGTGATAAAACGGGGTTGCATAAGGGAGTTCGCACCTGTTAATCGAGATTGGCCAACATCGCTTATGCATGCCCTAATGCATAATGTATCCGTATTGAGCAACCCATTGCAGTGGCATGTCCTTATAGGAATTGGAAGCAAACTGCCTAAAAGGAAGAAAATTCCAAATTTAATGTTTGCATGGTGTGGATTTTATATATTTAAGTAAAAGCTGAATCTTGTTTCATAAGGTCTCAACCACATTCTCAACCTCGCCAACTATTGGTCAAAGAGTGCTCCAGAATATTGGTGGTGGGTTAAACAGTTCTTTTTGTCTATGGTTAAACTTTCCGAATTCTGTGCACATTATAGTTAAACAATTAAAAATAGATACGTTTTCAAAACAATAGAGGTGACAGAACCTTCTCCATAACACCGAAAAGAGGGGGGTTGAAATGGTCATGGCAGAATTAGAATTGAATGGTGTCGAGAAAAGCGTGCAGACGACATGGATGCCTTCTGTCTTCACGATCGCGTAACCTACGAGTCTATTTACACCGGGACGTTTTGTCAACCCAGTGAATGTGAAGGGGTTTGCAAAGTGCCGTTAGTGTATCGCCAAAAATGGAAAGAGTTCGAAGTATGAAAGTAGTCTAAGTGTTTTTAAAACTAAAAAAAAAATACAATTTAACGATTTGTCATAAGTTATACCTTGTGTATACCTGATGAGTCGTGACCACACTGGACTATTGACAATTTCCAACACAATAACGTGGAAAGATAAAACTCCGGCACCGTAATATGCTAGACATGTAAAAACAGTTACTTTGTATCAAGAAACTAATTCGTAGAAATCAACTGTGATTTAACGAGGTTTTCAGTGTTTTGTACGTCGGATCAACGTAATAATACAAAATAAGTCAATTGAAATTTAAAACTGCTGAAGATAGTCGTATTTCACGAAAAAAACATTCAAACCGTCGAGTTAAGAAATTTCAGTGTACATTTTGACAGCTTTCCTCTGAAAACCTTTACACCATTTCGCCATGCCATTCAAACATTTTGGCAACTTCGACTGGCTGCGCGACACACCCAACGAGCGAAATAGAAAAGTTTATTTGGGGGTTTTCGATAAGGAAACACAGGAAATTTACATGGGCTTAAATCGTGTTGCCCAAAAAGTGGCCCTAGAACATAATGAGGCCAATAAATAGTGATAAGCGTAAAAAGGGTTGCGGGGCCATCAATAGAGGCGGATTAGCATAAAATATGTCGCGTTGGGGCCACAACTTCACGAGGAGCACATCTTAATTAGACCAACACGGGACGTAGATCTGGGGCCGTGTCGTCGGTAATTAATTCGGCACCTTCGAGGGGCTTATTTAGGGAATTGTCATGGTGGAAGTCGGAAAACAGCTGGGAGAAAAACTAGCTGTAGAAATATACGAACGCTATAACTGTCAAAGGAACAAGACAACACGGTGTTCTAGATGGCAAAGATGAAGCTGTGCTGTATTTAACTTGGAAAATATAACGAATTAAAGGTGCATTTTACTGTGAGAGTTGTAAAGATGTGGGATGTACGATTGAGTTTTTCAGAATTACTAATCATTTAACATATTGTGTCTTCGTATTGTCAGACATTTTGTAACTATACTGTAAAATTGTCGATTTTCTACTAGTTAAAGAAATTATTGATATCTAGAGACCAAACTGTGTCTTTAATGACTTATTTTAGATTTACGAAACGTAAATTAATAAAATTATTTTAGTTAAATAAGGTGGTGTGAACAGTATTAACGTTATTACAAAACCCCTAAACTATTTATTGACGAAGTTTTGACAAAAGTTGCATTTTATGAAACATAATACTGTCTTAGTTGTGGTGTACCCCGTGGTCATGAACGGTCAAAAAATGAGGAAAATGCTACTATCTTTAATTCTATTACATATACTCAACTAGCATCAAGATTTATACCCATCTTCAGAAGAAACCGTTTCCGCAAAAACACAATAATGTCAAGAACCATGTGACACTGCGCGATCAATAGATCAATCTTGGAGGTTGGAATTATCACCATGTACGGCCCAGGTCGATCTCAGGTGCATGCCTCCTTATAGAGAACCTAATCATAAAGATAATGATAATAATTGGTCCAGGTTAAGCTCGGGAGCGGTGCACCTCCTGGGAGATACGGCGATAAGAACGACGTGAGACTATGACAGAACCCGGACCCGTTAGATCGGCCCCTGCGGTCTACAACAATTACTTAGCTTCGAAACTTGAGTGGATTTGATTCGGTTTGCGAGTGTGGCCCAGCAGGAAAGGCCGTTTGTGAATTTGACATGGCTGAGTTTGTACGATTGTAAAATAGTGTATTGTTTACTTTCGCACAAGAATGGTCTGTTTTGGGTTTAGAATATTGGGTTTGGAGCAGGTTGATCGTGTATTGAATTTGATGTAACTTTTGTCAGCGCACAGAATTATTTATTGTATAAATAAATTACATCCTTCTTGCTCCATCAAGCAAGCTGCTGAACACGAAGGATAACAAAAAACAATTGAGGCTAAACCAAATAGAACTGCAATTTAGATGTTTTATGATAAACTCATGAACAAGAGTCGACAACGTTTATAAAGGCTATTTTCTTTCAATGCTTCGGTTACAACGTGAAATAACAAAACGACTAGTGTTAAGAAATGTAACATAGGATAGGGAAAGCCAATTATTACAGAGGGACTCTAAGTGCTCGGTTATAAAGCATTTCAACGAAACGGCAAGCACCTCGAAAGTGCGGGGAATGCGTAATTTATAATAGTATTAATTATTTCGCATATACGGTGTCGATGTACTCGGGAACAAAGCCGGGACCGAGGCTTGAAATCGTGACTGTGTAAGCTCAACAAAAGGAATGGCAGTCCAATAGTTGTGAAATGTCGTTGAATTCCGTATTTAATGGAGTAGGAATGGCTACACGTATGCAAGCCAAGCATGCGCCCGGTGCGAGACGGGAATGCGAGGCCTTACCGTCCTCGTGAATCCACGGGTGCCGAGTGCAGGGTCAAGATAATTCTTCGGGGCCAGATGTGAGACCAAGAACAATTCACCTGAATCAAGAAATTCACCTGTCTTAGTTCAACACCTTCCGAAAATCTCAACGTGCCATTTTATCACTTTCTTCACAAACTAGAAGACACAAAATCAGCTTTCAAAGTAAAGTGGAGCTGTTAATGCAAATCCCAAGGACCCATAAAACGGAACAAAGAAAATTACTCACCTTCAGTGACGACTTTGACGGCTCCAACCATGGTGTTGCGGGGGGCATCCTCTCGGACGTTGAAGTTGTACCTCGTCCTCTCGAAGAAGGGCCCTTTCTCGCTGACCGTCACCAGCACCTCCGCGTCCTCCCGAGCCCTCAACCCAGCGCCGTCCGTGGCAGACACGTTCAGTCGGTACACCCTCGCGGATAGACTCGGCTGGTTGATATAGACCTCTCCGGTGACACGGTCGATGCGGAAAAGGTTGCCTTCGTTACCCGAGACGATCTGGTAGGTGACGGCGCCGAAACGACCGGAGTCTCTGTCGGTGGCGGAGACCACGACGGCGACACTCCCGGAGGGCGAAGTCCCGGACCTGAGAGAGACGTTGTACTCGCGAGGGTAGAAGGTGGGCCAGTTGTCGTTGACGTCGGTCAGTTGTATCTTCACCATAGCTGTGGTACTGAGGCCTCCTGAAACAGAATAGTTTGGTTGTAGAAAAATCATTATCTATTTGTGAAACAACACGAAGGTGTGTTAATGTGCTAAGTAAATTGATTGGAATATTGATCAATCTTAACAAATTAAAAAAGTGTTACGATGGTGGGTAGAAGTGAGTGTTACTGAGGTTTGGCAGTACAAATACTATCCGATTAAGTATCCACAAGGTTATTGATAGTTTGATCTCATCTGTAGATAATTATTGATAAAAACAAAAATAGGGAATACTAGCTTCCATTGGTTCAAGTAGTCGAACATGTTTAGCAATGGTTACTCAAGACTTCACAGTGTCGCCAGTATTGCGAAAACGTTGAACCGGTGTGATCACAGCAACGATTGTCAGGTCCCCGACATACCGTGCGGAATAGCTTATTAACCGGCATTAAACCGTCACGGGAAAGTCTTAATTCGGCGGAAATATTCGCGAACCCTCCGATTTCGACAACTGTTAAATTTAGCAACTTAGAGAGCGCGGATAATTGGCCTGTAAAACATGTTTAGGAAGGGTACAATTGCCGAAGCTGGGCTAGAGGCCGGAATCTCTCCTCACACGAGCTCAAAGACATAAATCTTTTGTTGACAGGCGAGGAATCCAGTCTCTCTCTGCTCGCACCCGCTCGGCCTAATAGAATGTTCACATATCATTTCACCGACTCTTATTGCGGACCACTGCGTTTAGTCGCCCGGCGATTCATTTATAAATAGCCCAGCGGCAGAAAAAAACATCGATACTATGAGACTTCCTTGGGACATGCCGCAGTCGTGCCGTAGTTGGGTAATTAGTCTGTATCGTGTGTTTTTATCACGGCAGGTTCATGTCTTCGAACAGGACTCCTTCATGTATATTTCTGCTCAAATAGTGAGATGTCAGAACCGTATGATAGGTGGTATTGGTTGTTCAAGATGGCAGTCATACTGTCAGTAGGTATTTCCAATTGTAGTACTGTAGTAGTTAGTGAGGTAATACAATATAAGAAATCCCACAATTTATTTCGTGTACGAAAGGACCATTTCGACTAAGTCACCAAATGATGGAGACATTGGAATTTTTCCAACCTATCGAAACATAGGAAGTCGTGGTGGGTAGTATTTAATTTACATTAAGTCACCTGTATCGTTCGCTTTGCAATTTCACTCAGGCATTGCCAATTTCAATAACGTGTACGACTTAGCAAATTTAATTTCGTTGTCTCAATGTTGGGCCAAATTCTTACCAGCATTTACCAACTAAACAACCTCGTCATTTTTCCCAGCCCAGGAACACTTCTCTGGACACTATTTATCACAAACAGAGGCCGAAATCGAGCAGTGGCAGGGCTGGCAGCGGTTGACCACATGATCAATAATGAGGACCGAAAATGCGGCCGGGTGCCGTGCGGCGAGTGACATTAATATGTTAAGTGTATGCATTAGAGAGCCAAACAATACATCAATCATAGCTGGGATAAGTTATCATGGGTGAGGTGATTCATTCGGTGTCACTCAGGGTCGTTCACTCGGCTTCCTATCGTCCATTGTCTTGGACATTTAGATCACCAGATACTCGAGGAAATGAAGACGTCAAAGAATGTCTCTATGGGTCTAGGCTCATATCCTGGTGCTATGCCTAGAAGTTTAAGGGGCTATATTTAGTTCTGCTGGTTGCATTGATCTAACCATCAAATTGTCTTTGACATTTAGATACTCTTGGGAATGGGAACTACATGAAATATCTGTAAAAGTTCAATGAGTGGCCCTGTAGTATTTATAGTCGTGAAAATTCATTAATATAAGCGATACAGAGTGCACATGGTGTGTTTAATATTAAGTCATGTCAACAGAGTCTGGCTCCTGTCGCTGAATCAGAGGGACACACATGGCTGATCAAAACTCAGAACATACCCTGATTCCAAACCTAAACGAAGAGCAAAAGTCTATAAAAGGGACCTCTTTTTCATTTTCCCACAATATTTCATGTGCTAACTATTTCTACAGATAGACAACTCCGAACTATTTTCCTCGATTCCAGTACTATTTCTACTGAATAACCTTCCAGAACATTCCCTAAGACATTTAATTACCCCTCTTCAGTCCGAGGTGACGTTGGACTTAACTGCGTCATATACAAGTTACCCATTACATCGCCGAGCAGAGCGGCCGTAAAGACCTTTATGCGACCGTTTCCCGACAAGCTTGGTCGAGAAAGCACAAGTTTGTTCGGTCTTGAAAGAATGCGATTTTCAAAGGTCGTGAGAGCGAAATCGCTTCTAGCACAATCGCCGATAAACCGCTTCCTTCAAGTACAAGTGCATTGAATGAAACTGTCGACCAAACTGGGCGTAAAGTAGACTTCTTAGTTTGAACTCAGCGGAGCCGAAGTGCGATCAAGAATTTTACAGATGATGGTACTGCTCATAAAATAACTGATTTTTTTTTAGAGATGCCTTAGTAGTTTTTGATTTGAGATGCTGAAATGAGTGTTATACGGAATCCTGAAGCAGAAAAATCCTCTAAGGACTCAATTTATTTGCAGCACTTTCGTGACAAATCGGTCCAAGGGTTACCCTCCATTACACAGATGGCGCCTAACGGACGCCATACATCCAGCGAATTTATTCGATTGAAATGTCACTCGTAACAAACTAGACTCTCGTTGCATTAGAGGAGAGATTAAACAAATCATTCTCTATAAATAACAGTCGAAGTGGTGAGAGTTTGGCGGGATGTGTAAATCTTGCCAAGAGAAAATGCATCATCCGTTCCACCGGACTTTACAAATGCTGTAAGAACACAACGATGCTAGACATGCTTTGATCCAATTGACGTGTGCAAATTGAGATAGAAGAATGGCATTATAGGTTAAAACACTCCTGATTGGTGTTGAGTGTGTTCAACAAATTCAGCCAAGGTACTGTTGGACCACCAGAAGCTTGGGTTTAAGGGTCTTTAATATTTACAAGTTGTTCTGGAAGATTATAGATACCAAATACTGGTATAGCACGGTATTGCACCTATGACTTTATTGGTGCTGATACAAAAAATTGTTGGTCGATTCAGGTTTGCATCAATTAAGATCTTCGAATTGGCGAATGTCTATAGTTGTTACGAATCTCGCATCACAAAAACTGTAATCCAATAAAACCAATTAAACATGTCCAATCCTTACCAATGAACAATCATGCTAGTTATTTTACTTGACAAGGACTCTGAAGAAAAGGCAATGAACCTTCAAAATAAAACGACCCTTAACTTCTGAACGACAAAATTATTCAACTAAACATTCTTTTGACTTACAATTAATCGGTATAAATTGATTTAGTTATTGAGAGGCAGGTGCAGGGCTAAGTGGCGCCCAAGCAGCGTAATAGACATCTGTCCTTCCCATTACAAGGGGTCGTGTGCCCTTCGAGGGCCTTAAATGATAGGGGTTACAGGGACGAATCAAGGTCCTCGAGATGAAGTAGAATGACTAAATGAGTGTCCGCATCTAGGAAGCTTTACAAAGCTCATTCAATGTTCGTATTCAACGGACACAAAGGTTAACTTCATGGTATAGTGATTTACAAATATTTCTGTAAAAAAATCATAGGGGGTTTAACGTTGTATTTAGTGTATATTATAGCAACAAATATATTGTTCATCAGACGAATAAAATGTGTTTTTGAATTAAACGATCTACAAATTAGTGTACTTTCTTGACACAGTACGTACTTTCTTTACTGTACAAGATTAGTTAACTTTGAATACTGTAATTGAACTTTCGATTTAACGTTTTGGAGGGACATTACAAACTTTTACAAAGAAAAAGTTCATAATACGTAAGTATGGTCATTATTTGTTTTCATTAGTAATCAGTATTTATAGCAAAGTACTGGTGATAAACAATGAACTTGTTTCTGCTAATTTAATTCCCTGGAGCGTGAAGGTCCAAAACGAAACAGTGTTTGACAATTTAAAACCAGGAAAAGGGTTAAAAAAAAACCTATACATAATTACGATTCATGAACTACAAAAACACACCCCAGACTCCGTCAGTACCATCAGTGAATTGGCGTTGGGGTGATAGCAAGCATTTCCATACCCTGGTCCGTGCATACATCTACTACAGTCCATACAGAGTACAGTCTCTGCCCTCCCACACGAGTCGTGATCCGCGGAGGCTGCTGGTACAGTCCCGACCAGAAACACACCCCATATTGTCTCTAGAAGGTTTGGAAAGGTAAACCACATCACCATGAAATATCTTGAAAAGTAGAACGTATTCGCCATGTGGACATTTGTAATACAACATCTGTTGACAGACTGGTGTGTTTTCGAGATTTTCTGCAAATCAAATGAGAAAAAGAACTGTTGAGTAACCAGTGTGATCGAATAGCATATTTTATTACATCTTGTATTGATGGTAGCTTTTGTTTAAAAAAACAACTCTGTGTTGTTATAATTCAGATTCAAATATTAAAATCCCACGAGGAAATTTATATCGACATAACACTTCTTGGGGATTTAAGGCTAATAGTAGGCGAGCAATAGAATTATGTCATTTACAATTTCGAGAATATATATTTACTATTTATATTTACTAAGTACACTTCAATTAATTTTGCCAAATAATTTCCGATGTTCAGACGGAAGAAACGTACACGATGTGACCAGCCTGTCAGCACAGAAAACATCTAGTAGTATGTTTTCTGTGCTGTCAGTGACTCTAAAGATCTAATCTGTATTAGAAATATTATAGCATGACAGAAGCGCAGCTTAACCATTCATATTTTTATGTGTCTTTTGTAAAAACCTTATTTTGATACCCTCCATCTACTAACCATGTAGAAAATGTTAATCCACAAGTATTTGTGGGAATACTCAATTTAATTGACATCTCCACAACATTCTCTAAACACCAAATCTTCCAAATGCTCTGGTTGGATTCAAAACGCTCGGTGAAGCTTACCTCTATCAGTTGCAATGACGGGAAACTCAAAGGCGCTGCGGGTTTCGTAGTCCAGATCTCCAAAAATGCAGACTTCTCCGCTGACACTCTTCACCTCGAACAGTGCCGATCGAGCGTAGCCCTCTGCCAGCGTGTAGTTGACCATCGCATTGACTCCGCAGTCTGGGTCAGTCGCTGAGATCTGGAAACAATTTGAAAAATCTGTTCAAAATCTTAAATTTAAAAATCCTCATCATTTGATCTACACAAAATCTATTGGGAACCCAGAATTCAGAGGTATAACTGCAAAGTAGAATTATGAAGGATGCTATCTTCGGTTAAGGCTTAAGAGGGCACAAGTTCTGGAACAGTACTACAGTTTTAATGACTCACTGAAACACTAATAAAGCAAATACCGTACTTTTATTGTAAGGATGGTTTAAAATTGTCTTATGGAAAACTCTTTCTTGACAGAAATGGTGTTGTATAAGTTCAAGGTTATGACTGCTGAAAAACGATCGGGGTTTGCATAGAATATAAATTAGGAATTCATGGTTATAGGGATGAAACAGGGATGTAAATAGAAACCTTTTATATCATTGGGTTTCAACTTTTACTATAAATACAACTCCATCATGTAACATTCAACGGGTGAAAAATAACAATATTAATAGTGTGAAATGTTATTTTAAAACTCTAGAGGCGTCGAAATACAAACTTTGAGATTCATTCAATGAAAATAGAAAAACCATTCAATATTTCATATTGTAAAATTGATCGCTGTTGCGATTGGTATAATTACCAAATCTAAAACCAATCAACGATATGAACTTCCAGGTTTTCGTGACGACTAATACATCGTCTTCATATAGAAGCGACGAGTTGAGGGTGATATGAATTAAACATCGCCACCTGTTCATCGTCTGTGTATTGGATTTTTCTATGAGGGCAAGAAAATGCTGTGGGATATGTACTAAATTGAAACAATTTGAAACTGCACGAATGTTTTCTCACACACGGAAATTATGTCTACAAGATATTTGAGTTTTCAAACAAACATATAAATAATAGTACTCTAACATTTGAAATGGGGAAAAAGTGAACTTTTGGCAGTCTTTAACATAAATATAATCGCAGAGAGTAAACATTGTAACCAACCTAAAATTTTAGCGTGAAATAAAAACATCAACAGAGGTTTAAAACTCAGCACAACGACATCAAAGTGTAGTGTGCGAGTACATACAAAGAACACAAGAAAATGTTAGAAACACTGAGAACGCTGAAAGTTATATTTATCTTCAATGTCCAATTAGAAAGCCAACCGATAAGGAGTCACAAGGGAAAAAATCACGAGTGCCTCAGACAAGCAAAAAGCCTTGTCGCATTATATGTTCATAACGACTTTTGTCGAATAGTCTTTTGCAATTTGGCCTAAAAGCTCGAGTGCATCCCTGCATGCCGGCCTGATGGAACCGGCCCATCGGCGATGATTCGTTTAGTATCAATAATAGTTTCAGCCAGTGACACATACAGCGCGGAGTGGCGTCTTATTTGCATCTGGTGAAAATTAAATTTCGGTCTAGTGCGGGTATAACCGATAAGGCGATCGTTTGACGATATCGCTAATGGAACTGGTGTCATTTGGGCCCGAGTCCCGCGGTTATGGAGCTTGTGACCTTCGCCTCTTCGTCCTCCGTCCTCGCCGGCTGCTCCTCCGTTCAAACTTTTGTTCCAAGTTCAGTTTGTTTCAATTCTTGTGGGATTGGAAGTATCGTTGTCCACACTCATCATTTGCCTCAACGGTTTTTGTATTGTTTGAGTAGGTTGTGTAGAATTTGTTGATATCTACGAAGTTACATTTTTGTTCCAAGTTTGTTTTGATTCTTGTAGAGTTGGGAATATTGTCTGCTTTTGAGTTATTTGCATTGTTTTAGTAGCTTCTTTAGTCTAATTGGTTGATTTCGACTGGTAAATTAACACTTCTCTTATTCCAGTTGGGATTCAATCGAGCATCTGAACCAGAATATTTGCTTTTCTACTTTAGCACAACTCATGCTTATATTACCGTATTTTCCTCCTATGGTATTCGCTTTGAGTTATTTAGTTTGTCATTCAAGCACCCCAATCTATGTTATTAGTCGAATTTGTAGCAATATGCATTACTATCTTTACGGTTGGAAATACTTTATTTGGACTGATGACTAGATTTCGGTTTATTTGTGTTTTTCAATTATTAACAAAGCAACTTCTTCTTTATTTTGAACACCTTGGCCATATTAAAATTATTGCGTTGTGATTGAGTTAAAACTTATATAGTTATTAAATACAAGGATTTTGTAAAACTATGGTTCGTCAAATAAGGTTTGAGATTGACAGGAGGTTCGTCAGAAACTCACAACAATTGAACGACAAAGAGCTGTTGTCGACTGATACACCTAAGTTTCTCAAACGTAGTCGTAATTGATTCTTACACCTCTGAGGTTACATCTACTCAAACTCCAACAGTCTTCCAACATTCTAGTATGACACTTCGTTACATCCAGGATCCTGCGTTTCAAAATCACCGCGATAATCTAGACATTCACTCCAAACGCAGCGGAGAATCACGAATAAAACTCGGAGATGACATCTGATAGTAAGCAAACATATGTGAAGGCCGATTTCAATTGCGAAGGATGGGGGATCGGTTCGATGAGTCTTGTAAATAAATAGCAAGTCCGACAATATAAATCAACATCAGTTACATCCGCGCGTCACGGGCGCATGCTCATTTAAATACGGGACAATGCAGTGGGTAACGCAATTCATTAGGCTTATCTCTTGTCCGACAATGAGTAATACCCGAGTACCCGAATACTGACACACAAAGGCAAAGGCAAAATAAAACGGCAACCGGAGGATTTAGGTGGGAAACGAGTGTATGCAAAAGACACTGTCCCAAACCGGGGCCGATCTGGTCAGGTGGATCTCGGTCGAATTGTCTGGAATTTGATGAAGTACACAAATCAAGGATACAAGCAATCCTATATGTACATTTGAAATATTATACGACAATGTAATGAAAGTGTTGAATAGCAGTTTTGCAAGCTGTATAGGTACTTTAAAGGAAGTTTCATCTGAAACTTTGGAGACTAATGAACGAATTCTTTATTTGTAAGAAGGTTTTTTACATATTGTATAGGCTGCATGGATAAAATGGTAATAGCTGCACGTGTATGACATCGGCTTATGTCTAAATCCAGTTAACCTGTTGCCAATCAATTCAAAACCCGGTTGCAAGTTATTGAAATACTATTAGGCCATCGCACCACATATTTAAGTTTTATAAACCAACCAACCTCGAATTAGAAACAACTTAGGTATACTACTATTGCAATTTCATTCACCTGATATCCATTACGTATCCAACAAACCACCTAGCTTCAATTTAGTAGAACAATAATATTGCAAGAATGACGAAACAAGTAAATGCCCGATGTTTTACAAATCTCAAACCAACCTAACTTGAAGATGAACTATAATACTTAAGTATACAATTACAGAATTATAACTTTGAGCATACTCTATCCCCACTCTGACTCGGCCATTAGGGACCTTGAAGTGAAATAAGAATGCAAAGGGCGATGCAAGCTCTGGAGAATCTACAATCGCTGACAACTCAGTTATTGATCTCATTAGTCGCTAGATCCAGTCAATTGCCGTTATCACTGGAGCAATTGCCAACCTTTTAGGCGGCGGAATAAATAAGTCATTTGTAATCTAAGTGGTGTCACTTTAACCTAAGATACGAGACTCGGCTGCGCGCCTATTAGTATTCTACGATCGGCATTCGCCATTGTGGACCATTGTTGCTCTAGCTCCGGGTTTATTTATGTTGAAAATTTGCGTCGAATTTCATGTTTGGATCATAGTTTTATTTTCAGTAAACTATGGTTTGTACACCATTGACTCCGTTTTTCCAGACACTATAGGTTAAAAATACAAAGTAAACCATGTAGTTTACTCATAACAACGAAATAACGTATAAATTGCACTCAATACTTGTAGTAACAATAGTAGTGTTTATTGAAGGGCATTAGAAATGTAGAAGAATTCGGTACAAAATAATTCACAAAAAATCTACGTCAAAAATAATGTGAACTATCTTGGGTGTGGCGAGGGCTGGATTCATTATGGTCATTGAAATATTGGAACTGTGGTTTTATCAAAATATGTGGTATGTTGGGATGCGTTGTTTATTACTTGAAATGGATTACCGATACCTTTTTGTAAACCTGAACGAGAAAGGGATTTTTCCGAACTTGTTTGACCTACATGATTTCAATCGGTAACTTGTCTGTCATTTCGATTTATGCAGCTAACCCTCTATGATAATTCAACACCACTGATATTTTCTACCAAAGATTAAATTGTTGTTTCACATCATCCCCCTTTTTAAATCCAAACAAATCGCAAAACTTAAGTTCTTTCTTAAGTGAAAGAACAACAATTATGCACCCTGTGTTCTGCAAGACTGACCAGCTCCTCGGAGTTCTGTGATATATTTGATCGACTAATTGAAGGTTTTACAATCTAAGTAGCGATTCCTGATAGAGGTCTACTTAAGTGAAAATCATACATTGTAAGATAGAGATCACTTGAGCTCGTCAAGCGAACATCACTTGACTGCAACACCGCTATCTTCAGACTGCATCTTCTCTGTCAGTCCCTTGGTCTTCTTCACCAATTAGTTTTTGCAATCGTCTTTTACAAGCTCATTGTTATTCAGCGACCGAGGGAAAGCTTGGAATTAAACTACTAAAGCCGATCAGAAAGCAATGCAAAGATGTGTCTAAGCGTAGAAACAACTTTGGATACAAAAAACCAATGAGGGTTCCTACACTATTGAACACATTGCAGTTGGTAGGCCTATTGATACTATGACGCATAACACTTCTAAACTCCTTATTTGCTAGGTTACAAGCATAAACATATTTTTGGGTCAACATCACACCTTACAACCGCACTTGATAGGCTGGATGAAGTGTTGGCATCTCTTCGACCTCCATACATTTCCCTACGATAAACGCAGTAATTTGGATTCGTTAAAACTTGTTACAGAAACAATCTATCATATTTTGATAGTCAAATAGCAGAAGTTACCACAACGCCACTTCCTGCACTTTGCAGATGATCAGTAGGCGTAGCAATACTGCCAATGAA